GGCCGTCAGTTTCTGGAAGGGAAAAGCCGCCGATGGCAGCTTCAAGCCGCGAAGGCGGCCTCCGGCTTCCTTCTCCGGCTTTATCCTTCGGTTAAAAAGCAGGAAAGAAAAGAAGGGAGGGAGGGAGGGAGGGAGAGAAAAGGTCTGCGGTACTTTAGAGACCGGGTTGGGGCAGGGGCTGGCGTCCCTCTGTGCCGCCCAGGCTGGTCTGACTCCCGGCCTCGAGCGCGCCTCCTGCCTCGGCCTTTCCTTGCGCCCGGCCCGATGGGCTTTTAAATAATTAAAGCTTTTTCTTTTCGCTGGAGTCCGACTCTGTCGCCCACACTCATGGCCACCCCAGCGCTGACCCTCTGGGCCCCGGCCGGCCTTCCGCCTCGGCCTTCCAAGGGCCGGGACCACAGCGCAGGCTGCCGGCCGGCCAGTCTTCGGCTTGCGGCACAGACGAGGTCTCGCCGAGCTGCCCGGGCGGGTCCTGAAGCCGCAAGCTCGGACCGTCCACGCGCCTCGACCTCGCAAAGTGCTGGGATGACAGGCTGAGCCACCCAGCTGGGCCTGGGGCTCGCTTTAATCAGAAGGCTGGCCGAGGCCGGAGACTGGCCTGAGGACAACAGTCCGCGAGGGGCCCTTCTGCCGGCGCGGTGTCAGAGTGAAAGGCGGCGGCGCGCAGCGGGACTCGGCACCCTTTGAGGCCAAGAGGTTTATCAGGGCAGCAGCTGCAGAGAGAGGGAAGAAGGTCTGTAACGCCTGCTGGGGAAGGGGGAGGGAGAGAGCGAGGGCGAGAGAGGTCTGCGTTCATGGGTTTGGGAGGGGCGGCCAGTGCTCTACCGGAGCCTGGCGGTGCTGGCCGGTGCCATCTTCAGGTCTTCATTGGAGGGGGCTACGAGGTTGTCTTCCTATAGGGGGAGAACATGTGTGTACAGGTTTAAGTTTCATGCGCACGGGAAGCGCAGGAGCTTAGGGCCTTTGTTGCTTTGTTGGGATCCATATGGTGTTTTAGTGCCCTCTCGGGAGACGCCCTTCTGACTCTTCCCTGTGCCTTTCACAGAGCGCCAGCTTTTTATTTTTGAGTTGGAGTCTCACTCTGTCGCCCAGACTGGAGGGCAGTGGCCGCTCCCGGCCACCGCAGCCTCGACCCGCTGGGCTCCGGCGATCCTTCTGCCTCAGCCTTCCAGGTAGCTGGAACTACAGGCGCGCGCTACCACACCCTGCTGACTTTTGACTTGTTGTAGAGATGAGGTCTCGGCAAGTTGCCCAGGCGGGTCTCAAACCCACGGGCTCAGGCAATCCACTCACCCCAGCCTCCCAAAGGTACGGGATTACAGGCTGAGCCACCGAGCCCGGCTTAGAGCGCGCAGCTTATAGATGGGTAGTGAGAGTTCAGTACATGCAAAGTCACATCAGAGCTTGGCTCGGGAGCATATGTGGTGACAGGTGACAGACGTGCAGTCGCTGTCAGATGTGTGTGTAGGAAATGGCAAGGGTTGGGGTCATCTTTTTTTTTTTTTGAGTCGGAGTCTCACTCTGTCGCCCAGACTGGAGGGCAGTGGCCGCG